CTGACCGCTAGATGTCGCTAAAAGTTACACACTGTAGCTTTAAATATACCATAATACTATTTCCTCATACCCCCTTTTCGGAAAAACAAGTAGCCAAGTAGCTAATCTTAACATTGATTGCAACTATTTCTTAAAGGTAAGTCGTGAAAATGTGGTTTTCAGGTGTGAGAGGTCTCCAACTTTATTTATCCATCCTTAAGAAGGGGGTCATCATCAGGGTGGAAGAAAACATTTATTTAAAACAAAAGAGTACTCCGCAATGCCAAAGGTAATATTTCTTCATATATTTGTCCATAGTTGACTTGTGATACAAAAATATGAAGCAATGATATACCTACAGTAGCAGCCATTCAAAATGGCGCTTCCCAGCCAAACGCCAGCCGAATGGCAGCCAACTTCCAGCCACTGGAGTGACCCCCTTCTTGAATATATGTTTTTCTCTTTAGATCTTAATGTCCACAAATCATGAGAGAAATAAAATTTAATACAAAGATTGATGTTTAAAAATGAATTGTATGGGACCAGCCAAGGAAAGTGGGGACATTTTGACTGGCTACCACTGTATAAAGGTAAAGGATACACTCAAGGATAATGATGTACTGTGAAGATCAGCATGAGAACCTTTTACTCTCAGCGTGACCAGTGAAAGTGGGCTGTAGTTGGATCTACCTGTAAGGCTGTTATTATCTGATAATAATAAATAAAATCAGTCTGAATTAGTCAAAAAATAAATATCGGAATATCGTATCGGACCTTGAAAGTTGTATCGGGACACCCAGTATGACAATAAAGACACATCGTCAACACAATGATTTAATGGCTACGGAATCCCATAAAGGTCCTAGTCTGTGTCTACACCTCATATTTTAACTTGGAACTAGTTAAAATTGGCATTGAGCAACAAAGTAACATTGAGGTTTAGGAAAGGTTCAGAAACTAGTAGTGCATTTTAGAACCCTCCTTAATTGTGTCCAAACCGACTTACATCAACTTAAAGTAACGTCTTCCTATTATACATACTAGTAATGATTTTCAAAAAACCTTGGATATTAAATACCTTTTTTTAATCGGGGAAACGTCAATCAGCTTTTTATGTTTTATGAAGAGCTACTTTTGAACCTTGTTGGTTTACAGTGGGTACGGAAATTATTCAGACCCCTTTAAATGTTTCACTCTGTTATTTGCAGCCATTTGCTAAAATCAATAAAGTTCATTTTATTTCTTATTAATATACATTCTGCACCTCATCTTGACAGAACCCCCCCCCCCCAAAAAATGTTTTTTTTTTAGACATTTTTGCAAATTAATTAATAAAGAAAAGACTGAAATATCAAATGGTCACAAGTATTCAGACCCTTTGCTGTGACGCTCATATTTAACTCACATGCTGTCCATTTTTTCTGGTCCTCCCTGAGATGGTTCTCCTGCTTCACTGGAGTCCAGCTGTGTTTAATTAAGCTTATTGGACTTGATTAGGAAAGGAACACACCTGTCTATATAAGACCTTACAGCTCACAGTGCATGCCAGAGCAAACAAGAGTCGTGAGGTTGAAGGAACAAAGGTTACAAAATAATGTCTGCAGCGCTCATGGTTCCTAACAGCACAGTGGACTCCATAATACTGAAATGGAAGAAGTTTGGGACGACCAGAACTCTTCAGCCAAACTGAGTTATCGTGGGAGAACAGTCTTGGTGAGTGAGGTAAAGAAGAACCCAAAGATTACTGTGACTGAGCTCCAGAGATGCAGCAGGGAGAATAGAGAAAGTTCCACAAAGTCAACTATGACTGCAGCCCTTTAGCAGTTGGGGCTTTATGGCAGAGTGGCCCAACGGAAGCCTCTCCTCACTGCAAGACATATGAAAGCCTGCATGGAGTTTGCCTAGAAAACACATGAAAGACTCCTAGACTAAGAGAAAGAAGATCCTTTGGTCTGATGGGACCAAGATTATTAATATGGTTAATACAACTATTCCTTATTTGTGAACATAATTTTCTTGATAAAAATCCTTTTGCTAAAATGCCATCAGAACGCTTTTAATATTATGTGGTGTCTCACCCCCCACCAACAACGTAGATCAGTCCATTTGCTGCACATGTTCAGAAAGGTCCAAAGAGACAGCAGCAAACCATCTGAAAACAAATAGTGCGAAGAGCAGTGTTACCAACTTGCAGTCATGATTCATGCAGCTATTATTTCATCCAAATGAAAAATGGAGAACAGATAAGCGGATCATGGCTTGTCTAATGATAAAAAGGAGGACTGGGTTATTTACTTTTGCCAACGCCTTTTTGGAAATACAGGAAGGAGCAATCAGCTAAGTGCTTAATGATTGGAGAAAAAAATCTTTCATTCATTTGAAACAGCATGAAAAGTCAGCTGAGTACAAAACATTGAGAGAAAAACAAGAAGAGAGAGACTAATCATATTACAAATAATGTATGTCTGTTCTATTAAAACATAAAAAAAATTCTGTATCTGTAAGAATGAGTCTGTTTTATGTCCAGGGGCGTTGCTAGGCACAAAGCTTTACTGGGGCACTGGCCCCCTACCGCATATGCCCCTCCTTCCATACATAAATACAGACAAGCACACTGCCCCACCCTGATAAATTCCTACCAAAATTACCAGTTAAGATA